GAGGAAAGCTAGGAGAGATTTATGTGCATACATGGGTGAGCAAAGGTTTCAAAGCCTGTTTTCTCATAACCTTAAACTGCTGTGGAAAATATCAGGGTTTCATATATCATATATCAATATATATATATCATATATCATATACGAAAAATATAATATTTATTGTATGGTCTTTAAAATGCTTAAAATATCTAGGACAGCACACAGAGAAATGAATCCTGAATTCCAAATAAATGTGTTTTATATATATATATATATACATATTGCTGTGTAATGACTGTCTTTATTTCTACTGCTGTTAGTATTGTTTCAAATCAGAAGTTGTTTCTATCACTGTTCAAAACCTGCTGATCTTTCATTTTTAGTTTGACATAAGCTGGGTGATCAGAACTTACAATTGTAAAAAAATGCCCCTCAGAATAATAGCTTTATGGAATTATTAGCTACAGACCAAAGTGTTCCAGTCACTGAACCAATGAGGTTTTAATGTTGTTGGGCATTTGGAATTACTCTAGCACTTTTTCCTGTTATGTTCAGTTCCTTTCAAAGTCATTATTACTTGCAAATCAGCACATGACATCCTGAATAAATGCATTCATTTAATGTATGTAATCACTATACATGGGTGAGATAATTATATTGGTAGGTTTTGAAATTTTCTTCAGCAGTTTTTAAGTACTGAGAATCAGTCAGACTCCTGGGGCTAGATATAGTTATGCTACAAAGGCTGTGTGCCCAGGAATGTTTGCACAATATAGTGATTATGCCAATAGGCAAAACATGCTTGAATACTCCAATACATAACATCACTCTATTACTATTATTTAGACTATTTTTCATTATTCAAAAGTGGAGTCAAACATATTAATTTCATTATTGCATTTGGCATGTTTAGTAAATTTTAACTAATAAAATTATTTTTAACTCCACTCCTCTTCTAAAATGACTGACTCTGCTGAAATTTACAGCATAACAGCAACACTCACATGTCACATATGATGGATATCCTTCAGTGTCAGATTTCCAGTGTAGCAACATCTCAGATGCACCTCCTCAAGACAGAGCAGTCAGCAAGTGTTCATGCACAAACAAAAGTAAAGCTCTGCTTAAACATGAAGCTCAGTCTTTGTTCCTGCACAGAAATACTTGTGCACAATTCAAGCCATGGTATTTGAAAAGGTGTCCCTTCATGTCAGTAGCATACAAACACACTAAATAATGCATGCCAGTTCTCCTAAACTTGATTTATCATCACAAGTGTCTTTCCTTTGCTAGAAATGCTTTATAGCTAGTAGCCTAAGTCAAAACCCAGCTGTCCACATCCATCAGAAAGCTCCCTGATGGAAAAAAATAATGATTGATCAACTGAGCCATGGGAAATAACTTCCAAAGTATTGACTTATTGTTATGCCTCCTCATACACACAGACTAGCACATAGTGGGATTCTGGCCCACAAACCAAGACAAAGTGAGAAAGAGGGATACAGAATGCTGTAGTGGGACCAGACTTTCACCTAACGGGATGAGGTACATCATCAGGATGACTCAGTACCAGTGAGAAATATTCTATTTTAAAGAGGTTAGCTGAAGACAACTGGTTTAAAGAATATGGCAACTCCAGCCTGCAAAACTACTTCAGCTGATACAGTAATGTTTGCAGATGTCTTTAGAAGGACAAGTTTCAGTGGCAGTCAAAGGATCAAACATCCACCGAAGACAGATGTGAAGCTAAACATATGCTCTTATGTTGTCTGATATATCTGGTAAATGATCATGTGAAGCAATAGGCCTGAAAGCCCACTCTAGTTACCAGTGATCCAGTGAATGAACAGACAATCTCTAATGCAGAATGATACACTGGTGATTGTACTGACTGATATTTTGGTATCTAGCTGCAAAGAGATTGTGTAAGTTATCCAAAACATCTGATACAGAATAGCAAATAGTCTCATGATTTCTGTTCATGCTGGTTCTTGAAACATGTTTTCAGACAATATTGTAGAAACTTTAATACTTTCATAGAACTATTTGTCACAGCACTTTTCAAATAGATTTGCTTATTTACTATGTAAAGATGTCAGTAATAACAATCTTTAAACCATTAAAAATATCTGAAATATATTTCCTGTTTATTAGCATGTAATTATTTTAGGGTCTGATATTTTGTGAATAGCCAAGATTAGAAACACATGTTTCTACATGGTGCATACTTCAAAACATGTAACTGGAAATTCTGTAATTCCAGCTGTGTTATGGAATATAGGAAGTGTGTTAAACCCAGGTGTTAGTCAGGATATTCAATTTAGGATCTGTCACAGTTCTGGAAAAGGGAAAGATGTTTCTGTCTTAGATGTGTGGCATGCATAATTTGGTGGGGAAAATTATGTATTTTCATGTCATGGTAGGTACTGTTTCACAATTATATAATTTGTTTCAAAGTCTGAAATATTAGCCATGGAAGCAGCCAAATCATAGGGCTTAAGGGGAAAGATTTTGTTCCAGGTCTCTATATATGATGTCATGGCTATTTGAATTAAGGCAATTATACCTGGGAAACATATATGTACCATATATATGCATTTCTTTATTAATTTAACCAAAAGATTTCCTGTCTGCCTTCAAAATCAGTCGCAACTTTACAGTGGAATTCATTTGGTGTAGATGACTTATTTAACAGCAAAGTTACTTGGGCATAATGCAGACACTTTGCATTCACTTTGGTGAAAGCTATCAGTTTGTGCAGGTGCACAAAGTTGCACACACTGAAACAGAGAGGAAGTTTTTGCTTTGTAATTCTGCAGTTCTCTCAGGCCTGCCCCTGTGCCTCTCTGCTCCCTGCACAAGCTATCTGCCAGCCAAAGCTTAGACAGATCTGAGTGAACACCTCAGCAACACTACAGGACCAGCAAGTGACACCAAGATCATGGCACTGTGTAATTTTTCTTTGTTCCTCAACCTATTTTGCCATAATTTATTTGATTGTCAATCTGTAAATGTTTGTATATAGGGCTTGACTTTTAAACAAAGCATGTGATGGTGAGAATGAAAGCAGATCTAATATATTGGACTTACAGGGATATGTACATTTTGTGACTTCTCAGTTCAGTAAAAAAAGAGTATTTTCCAAGATATATCAGCAGTTTTAGTTTTTCACTTAACAGAGCACACTATATCCTTGTGTGGTCCTTAGCATTTAAGCTGTTCAGAAGTTGCATAACAGCAGCCAAATCTTTTAAGACTGAAGGACTTAGTATTCTTCCATTTAGCAGCAAGTTATGAAGTTTCATTTAAAAAGGCTAATTCTACCAATTATCTCATCCTGTTCAAATACACCTATACTATTGGGAAATATAAAAATGGTTTATTAAATCAAAAGATATGACTGCACTTCAACTAGCACACGGGCATGAGAGATCAAGTATTCCCTATAGATTAATCCCCATGGCATCACAGGCTGATTTGGCTCGCCAGTATTACATTAGTAAACCATCTAATCCAATTTAGTGCAGACAGGAATGTTCCATCCATTATGGTATTTCTAGTATCATTAGAAGCAGACTGATTGAATAAGCATCCTAAATCAGCCTGCAGCATGCAAGTAAATCACTGCGACTTGTACTGCAAAATCTTTTTTTTTAAATAAAAATTAAGGGAAAAGAAAGAAAAAGCTCCATGTAATAAGATGGAAGCTCTCTGTGTGATTGTGATTTCTGAACTCTTGTAGACAGTGAAATTTCTTTGTACTTCAGTATGTAAGATTCTTCTCTCTGTAAGGTAGCAGTACAAAACACGGTGGATTTACAGATGTGAGAAGCACCTTACTTGTGCCAAGCTTGTCTTCAAGGAAAGCAGTGGAACATCATTCCCTCCCTCTCCCCAGTAAACAATAACAAACCGAGTAGGCTGAATGAGGGCAGAGCAGGATGCTACTCTCACAAATAAAATCTGCTGTGTAAAATTGGAGTAACCATAGTAATAAAATCTATCAATCAAATATATTACAGAGGTTGCAATAGAAAGGATGGAAAGAGAGTCCAAACTTTGTATTCACCCAAAATGAAAAATGCTCAAGTAATTACAAAAATAGTACTTTTGTTCCAAACAGGCACACCTGAAAGAAAAACAATTCTTCAATAAAAAAGTAAATATATGAATAAAATGTTGGTGACAGTTCTTGAGATTACATAGCTCTCAAAAAGATTTCAGCAATGGGCTTTGCTGCAGCTTTGAAAAGCTGGGAATCAAACAGAATAAAATCATCAAAATGGCACTCAGCCTTTGCTGCCCTCCAAGACCTATCACATTGCACCAGCAGGGCCATGCAGGTCTCAGCCACACTATTTAAGCAATCAGCCATAAAAAGGAAACTACACCAGTGCACAAGGCCCTGAGTGGCTGCTCCTCCTTGGTGCTCATGTACGGGAAGGATTCACATTTGTTTAATGACAAAGTTGCTCTGCTGTCAGTCAAACAGCTCCTAATCTGTGTAAAAACTGAGTTAGAAAGGATGCTATTGATGCTTTGTGTCCCAACTGCTGAAAAAGTGAACAGCAACCCAGAAGTGCAGATATGGACCTGGAAGGAATTATTTTCACTGCAGATAAGAATATATCTGAACCAACTACAGTTTTACAAGAGAGGAAAAAGTTCACACATACCAGAGGTTTCTGGAAATTCCTTTAATGGATCTTCCTTCCTACCTCCCTGAAAATACTGCAAGTTTGAACAACAAAATTTTGATTATTAGAGTGTGTGTGTGTGTGGGGGGGAATTTTACAACCAAATTAAATATTTTAAGTTTACAGGTTTTAATTTTTGTAACAAAAACAAATCTTTGCTTTTGAAGAAAAACAAACAACTTTAAAAAAAAAAAAAAAAAAGCCAAATCAACCATAACCTTAACAAGTGCTTAATTTACTTCAAGAAAATGTTAAAAACTTTCAACACAATTTATTCAGAATCCTACCCAAATTTAACTTCAAAAATGAAATATTTTCTTAGTACTACTCTGAAAGGCTCCATCTTAAATTAAATCCATCTGAGAGAAATTAAATGGAAGAAATCATGTCAAGCCCCACCATTCATTCTTAAACAAAATGACAAACTTGCATAAGACTCTGCTCTTGCTTTTCCACATCCTTTTGATCCCAACAAGCCTGTTTCTGGCAAATTCTTCCCATCAGGACATGGAAAACCACACTGAGCCAGCTGGAGCTTGGGAAATCTATTCTATCCTTTGCTTGAACTGGCTATACTGATGCCAAACATTATTATTGTTATTAATAGCACAAACCCAGACTGCAGCAGTAAATCACATTCCTCCCAGAGCAGATTACTTGTTAAATGTTTATCATCGATGTAAATGACAAATGTATCTGATTAGCAAAATCCAAAAGCTTGTTCTGAGGTAAAAAGGACTCAGACTTGCACTTTTTCTAATGAGTTTCTCTTCTGGTCCACAGTAGAACCCACCAGATCTACCAAATCCAATTTCTGAATGAAAGTTCAAATGCTTTGTAGAGCTAATGAGGGAGAACTAGATTGAATTATGGCCACATGTTGCTTCCTTACGAAACAGCAGGTTGAAGAATTACACTTTCCTCTTCCCTTCCCTTTTGCAAGCCATAGAATATTTTACTTCTTTAAACTGGTTTGGCTCAGCTGGGTTGGAAGGACTTTAGGTGAGGACATTGAGGAGAAGGATACAATCCTTGTTCTTTGCTGAAGAGGGAAGTACAGAGTCACTGTTCCCCTGTCCACAAGAGACAGTCTAACCTATGTTCCTCCCTGTGTTTCTTTGCCACAAATCTGGTTCTCCTGACACACTGTGAATGTGGAGACTTCTCATTAGTGTTAGGCCCTAGCCTGAGCTGCCAGCATGGAGGAGGACAGGGAATGTGGGAGAGAGGTACTTGTGATTGACAATCCTGCCTGGCAAACTGACCTTCCCTAGGGCTGTGACTTGCTGAACAATCAACTCAATAGCTGGGCAGGTAAATGCCCAGAGTGTTAAGTGGGTGAGCCCAGATCCAAATGTCCAGCTCTTGATCATTAAACTAATGGGGGAACAGCCTGTGGTTTAGAGTCTATCAGGACACAATGGAAACTCCATTTCTGAGTGCCTACCTGTCAGATGGGCTCTCTCTGCCAAGTCCATCCAGCTGTCAGTGAAGTTCACAGGAGTGTCCTGGCCCTTGACATCTTCAAAACTCAGTTGCAAAGTGGCACAAGGTATCTGCCAAAGGAAAGGCACAAATCCACTGATCAGCTTTGTGAAGAAGGAAAGTTATTTCAGGCACTGAAATAAATAACTCCTAGCCAACTTTATGCAGTGGCCACAGTTCTAGCAAAAAAAAATAAAATTTTTCTTCTGATATGACTTCAACTAAGCAAAAGAGATAATAACAGAAAAGGATTTGACCTCATGTCTACAGTAACAAGAAAATTCTCACTCACTGGCAGATTTTATACACAGCAAGTTGAAAGGAAAACTAAATGTTACCATGACTGAGCTTGCATTTCCTGATATCTCAAAAGGCATTTGTTTCCCTAAGGAGTGCGTTAAACAAAGAGGTAAAGGTTATGTTCCTATACACGTCCTAAATGCTGAATCTTAGTTGTGATGGAGAATATTTTTGCTTACTACAGATGCAGCATTTCTAATGAGTCAAGGTGCACCAGTGGATCATTTCAACTATTTGTCTACAATTTTGCTATCTCCTGAATATTGAAACTAGTGGTTGTCCTGAAGAGACTAAGCTACATATGTGCAAGGGGAGCACACACAGACACTTTTTGATCAGCAAGGCAATTTCCCAGGGCAATGTGCTGATCAACACACTGAGCTGAAACATCTGCAGGATAAAGGATTGTGTCTGAAAACCCTGTGTTTGATGCCCATAATTGTGACAAAGTCATTGCATATTCTGCTCAATGCTTTTTCTGTTTCAGCACTTTCTCACTGTACAAAGAAGCTCCAGCAGCCTCTTAAATGTGGTTGGTAACTCAAAGTACATTTGGGAAATCAGCCAGAGAGAAAGGCTTTTCTTCTGTATGTTTTGCTGCTTCTCTATGAAGTGATGGAAAAGATACACATTTGCCATGTTTTCAGGGTTTCCCCTTACAAAAAAGAAAAAAAAAAAGGAAGGAAAGAACTTGAAATAACAATTTTTTTAGTATTAGTATTGTTTACTTTAGAGGCTTAAAGCTGCTTAAAATCTGTCATGTTACTATCTAGGTAGGCAGCTTTTAAACCGTATGCTATTAACTTTTTAAACTGCAGCAATGTAAAAGTCTATTGTATCTCAAGACTGAGTTTGCAGAGCTGTCAAAGATGCTTTTCCTCTGAGCTAAACATGATTTGAAAAACGTTGCAAGCCAAAGCATTTGCTGTTACTCACAAAGCACTGCTTGCCAGGGACCACACAGGCGAGTGAGGCCCAGAGGCAGTTAACCCTGGCAGAAGAATTCTCTAATCATGGCTGTGAAGGGAATTCCCTGGAGACAGGAAAGTGAGGAGCAAGACACCTAAGGGAGGGAATAGGGTTTGCTAAATTGCTCCTGAAGAGAATGGTTTCTGAAGCCTTGCATTTCTCTATGAATACCTATTCCATGGTAGGAGAAAGGGCCACCCAAGCCCACCTGCAATAAACTGCCCCGCTGAGAAGCATCATTGCTGTGCTGCTTTTGGCACCTGAGCTGCTCTCAGCAGGGTGAATGTTCTGCCCACATACACCACATTACTTACCTCTGGTTTCTCTGGGCCTAATCATATGAAAGGTGTCTATGCACCGACCCAGATCTCACCTAAGGGGTGAAGGGCACCTTAACTTTGGACAGAGCCCAGGTGTGGGTGTGACAGTGTTTTCTTTAGCAATGAGGCTTTGATCTTCCTCAGCTTGAAAAGAGCACAGAAACAGTCTCACACTTTCTGCTTGACACAAGGATTGGGAGCAGCCATATCAGAGCACACCAGTGGATTTATCACACCTGAGTTTGGTGGTGTCAGCACGTGCTCATGTGCTTTGCTCATATCTTCATTTTGAACATCCTGTGTGTCCTTCCAGACTGGCTGCAGGGGTAAGCAAGTGCTCAGCTCAACCCAAATGGGCAGACTGCCTTTCAAAAGGGGCCAGGGCTCCCCAGCCACTGAAGAGGCTGAGCAGGGATTTTTTTTTTGTGATTCATTTTTGTTTCCATGTCCTAGTATAGAATTCTTTTTGATGGACTTAAAACACTTCCAAAGGGAATGAGCTAACTTTCCAGGTAACCTGCCAGGCACTTTCCCTGGCAGGACAATCCCTCTCAGCTTTGCAGACAACGTGCAGCATCCAGGATGGTTCTCCATTGCTTTTGCAAACTGGGTCACAACACATTTCCATTTGGAAGGTGTGGTGAGTAAAAGGCCTTGATTTTTCATCCTGCTTTCACCTCCCAGATGCCAGAGTAGAGTCTGCTTCTCCTCTGAATATAGGGGTAGGTGGTTGCCAGTAATCTCAGTAAATGGAGAGCAAAAGCCACTTATGCACATAGGTGAAAATACCTGCCAAAGGACCACAGACTGCTTAGCCTTCAGTAGTTTGCAAGATTTCATTTTGAAAATAGTAATTTAAAACACTTGTGAGAGCCAAACAATCTCTAAACCCGTAATTACAGTGATCATGAAGGCTTTGGTTTATTGGTAATTTTTTTTAATAGTAGAACATATTTAGTGATGCAGCTGAAGTAACACCACCATAGGAAAAAACATAGAAAAGGATAAAACTTTCAAACCTGATCCAGAGCCTCTGGAAATTATTGGAAAGCATTCCACTGACTTCAGCACACTTTCCTATCAGAAAATGTTGCCCAGAACATACTTTATAGCTAAATTAGAAAGCTCTGAATCACAGTCTTGTAATACAGAGTTTAAAAGATATTTTATTATGGCTAAAAATATGCTGTTACAAACCTATTGATCTTTTTACCTTTCTGATCAAAATAGCAAGGGATGCTCTATGAGTGAAAGGGAGACTCAGAGCTCCTTTATGGAAGGCCTCATGTACTAATCCTGTTTGTCTCGGTTGCAAAAGAATTCGTCAAAATTAAAGCACCCAAAGGATTTATCAAGCACTTTTCAACCTTCATCTGGATTTAGCAAGGGAAGCAGTTCCAAAGCCTGTAGATTAGTACTGCACAATCAGGCTTGTGTAAACAGCACGACAAGGCTCAGCTTGATGTTTCAGGCAGTGACACTTGACACGTTTCTGAAGACAAAGGTGCCATTCCACTTGCAAACCAAAGATGACACTTGGGTGAATTGCTAAGGAGGGTTTGCCCTGTTGCCTGTTGTCAGATGACTCCTGCTGCACATGTGTCCCTCACAATGGTGTTAACAGGATTGGCAATGCTCACCAGGCTCTCCACACCTTGGATAATGAATTGTTCAATAGTCAGCTTTGAAAAGTTTGTAAAGAAAACCTGCATGTATACAGCCTTGGGGCATATTTATCATAAAAATAGATTGGTAAACTCTGTTACCAGTAAGGGCAACTGAGTTTCTTGGAGCCTTCAGTGGGGCTAGAACTTCACAGTGGGATCTGTTATTTTCAGAGATTTTCTCTTAGAAGGAGAAGCTGAAAGAAGTTCCTGAAGCCCAGTTAACCAATGCTATCGTTTGTGGTCTCTATTAAATCTTGTGTTTTCATGCCTTGGGCAGAGTAACTGAAACCACAATAGAATGGAATAATACGAAATTTTGGGGTTTTTTTCCTTTAAACTTTCAAATTTGGAAAACAAGAGTGTCATAATTAATCAAAGAGAGTGGGGGAGAAGCACTGACAAAAAAAGTTGACAATTTTCTTCAGTTTGATTATTTTTTCCTATGTTTTCCTACATTCATGGAAAAAAGGTCAACCAGCTCTGCTTGTTACCTGACAGAAGAATACTAAAATCCTGCCAAGTGATTGATTTAGTATTGGCCCAATACTAAAATTGAGCCAAGTGGACCTTGAGCTATGCCAGTAACAGCTTGCCTTCAGGGAATACAAGCTCAAAGAACACCATGGGAGAAGCACTGAGCCCTTCAATAATACAGGAAGAAGAACATTAATGTCTATTTCAATAAGTATTTCTTTAAGGAAGCAAGGAATCCGCTGGTTTCAGCGGGACACTGAAGTGTGATATTGCTGAGTAATCCAAATATTATTTACCACACACGTGGCACTGGAGCCAAACTGTCCAGGAGTCTGTGGGCCTTTGTGCAGCCCTGTTGTTCAGCACATACAAGAGAAATAAAATGGTTCATCCCTCACTGGTGTGGTGTTTACATCTATCCAGTCACCTTACCATTTATGCTTCTAAAAATTAACAGGTTGCTCATGTGAATTGTACATATTTTGTCTTGGCTTTTCTACAGTTCTTGAGGTTCAAAATTCATCTTTCATCTGAAAGAAATATCACAGTGAAAATACTATTTGAAAGATGGAAATGATCCTACTCCAGTATTATAACACAGTGTAGCTTAACTACAATAGTTCACTGATTAGCAATCAGTTTCTTTTTTACAGGACATTTTTATGAGTCTATAAGCACACTTGACCTGTGCTTTAGGCTGATAGTTTACAGGAACAATGATGTGGAAGAAGCCAAGTTATAAAGGTGGGGAGGTTTCTGGTGCCATGAGGAATCCTTCACCTGTTTTAACAGTAAAAGACTGGTAAAATTTCCAGTTATGTAAAAAGAACTGGGACTTGTGGGTTACCCCATTTTTGGGAAGGCAGTTAGCTGAAGCACATGCTGAAATAATAAATTATTTCTATCCTTGGGTGTCTTATAAATAAAGTAGTTTAGGATTAGGAAGTCAGGCTGACAGAAATACCAGTGTGATGAAGCTTTTTTCTTTGGTTATACTTCTGCAATCAGCTCGATGCCAGTAGAAGTGCAGGAGTATATTGTGAATTTTTATAGTCACACAAATCTTAGAGTATTTGAACAAAAGCAGCCATTGATACCTTACCAATACCTGTTTGTATTTGCTTACAGTGCTCTGAGTCTTTGAAGAGCAGAGCTGGCTGCTGTTAGTTGGAGATTTACAGTTGCAACCACATTAGAAATAAATACTATAAAAAACATGCCATCAACTTATTCTTAAAATGATCAGGTGCATTTTATATATCATTCTGAGCAGAAGGTATGAGAGAATGTAATTTTTGCCAGAAATTTCAAATAAAGGCTCTAGTTTTAGGTAATGTTATA